ATTCCTTAGGAGCAGATAGATATCGAGCACACATGCACACACTAAACATAATGTCGGGTCTAGAGGAGGCAAGATAAAGAAGTGAGCCAATCATACCTCGATATCTCTTTACCTCTACGTCCTTACCACTTTCATCTTTATTCAAGTTTGCACATGTCGGCATAGGTGTGTCAATGGCTTTGGAGTTTTCCATGTCAAATCTCTTGAGAAATTCAAGGCAATACTTTGTTTGACTTACTAACGTTCCTTCCTCAAGCTGTTTGATTTGTAGTCCGAGAAAGTATGTGAGTTCTCCCATCATACTCATCTCGAACCCCCCCTGCATTAGGTTAGAAAACTCTCTCACGAGATTCATGTTAGTTTAACCAAATATAATATCATCAACATGAATTTGCACCAAGATTAAGTGTTGTGTCGACCTTGCCTCTTGAATACCCTTGATCAAGTAAGAATTTGCTTAGTCGCTCATACCAAGCCCTAGGAGCTTGTTTGAGTCCATATAACACTACAAAAAAAAAGGAGATTTATGACACTTGAGTTGCGACAATTATCAAAAAACCGCCCTTATTCCAAGATTGTGACGGTTGTCACGACAGTTAGGGTCAACTGTCATAGAGTTTTTGCGACAGTTATCAAAAAACCGTCCTTATTCCTGGACTACGATAGTTCTCACGACGATTTGAGCCAACTGTCACAAATTTTTTAGACATGTTGTATAAAATAATGTGACAGTTACCAAAGAACCACCCTCTTTTCACACTCGCGACAGTTAAGGTGAACTGTTGCAATTACTTTAACCAATCATAATCACTATTTTTTTGTTATTCCTTTAATTTTCCATTTTTTTCTTCATTTTTATTTTCTAACCTTTTCAATTTTATTAATTAATTTAATAAATAATTATTATAATTATTATAACTTTCATGACAATATAATAATTATTATAATTTGAATAAATAAATTACTAAAAATATTTATAAAATATAATAATAATAAATTAAACTCAAAATACATCAATTTTTTAAAAATTACACTTCATTTTATTAAAATATTTGATGTATCAAAATTTAACTATAAAAATTAAAACACTATATATATTCAAAATAAAACTTTAATTTTAGAAACTATTTTTACAGAAAAAATTAATCTCAATATTATACCTAAAATTAAAATATAAAATTAAACTATGTATCAAAAAATTAAAGTCAAAACTATATACCCAAAATTTATGTATCACGACGGTGAACTTATCCGTCGTTCTCCCATTCCCTTTCACAAAGGTTGCGACAGTGATTTCAACTATCGGCCTCCACTATACATTATTACAAAACTTAAAACAAATGTAAGAAAAAAACTCAACCTCTCGCTGAATTATTTCGTCTTTCCGAAACTTCATACTAATCCAATTGTTCCAGACATCCGAATCCCTATTCTTCTTCCAATTTCAAAAGTTCAAACTCTTACATCAAATATTAGTTTTTTTTATAAATCAAATATGTAAACCCTACACTGAAATGAAATCAAGATGATGGTTTATTCTGTAAAAAGAAAAACATTTTTTCTCCTATGAAATGTATACAAGATTCACCACTTCACGGCTTCCTTCAACATATATAGCGAAAACCAAAACCCGAATTTGGTTACTACGCAATTCAAGCCCACGAAGGCTTTGATCAAGTCAAGTGATGAGAAGAAGAAGCCATTTGATGACGCATTGTAGGACAACACGGAGGTGCCTTCATTGAAATTAACTCTTGCCGCAAATAATTTGTTTTTGAAACGACCTATTTTGAATCAAATCACAGAATTCTGCAATGAATTGAATAGATTGGAAATAAGAGCTAGGGAGAGGGAAAATACTGAAAATTTGAACCCAATAGAGAGTAAGGAAGAGGTTGTTATGCATGAGAAGACTCAGTCGGTTAAAGCTTTGGCAGAAAGGAAACCACTGCATGAAATAGGGAAGGTTGAAAGATTGGAGGGGATGAGTGTTAAAGGAAATCTAAATCGAAAGAAGTAAGCATTCTCTCCCCTAGAATGTCTGTTTGTCTTTAATTTTAGTGAATGTAGTCACAAAGTAACTTGACCATTGATAATAGTTTGACGGTTCAAATAGGTTTTTCTAATTTACGATACGAGATCTTGGTCAAAATATGATGATAATTCGATTGACTATATTTCTATTGGTAGTACCAACACTTTAGCTCGTATGCATGGAATAGTGTTTCTCCTTCTCCTCAGTCCTTCTCTGCAGGACTCACTAAACCTAACCCTTCAAAGGGTTCCAGATCCCAGCTAATGATATGTTCAAACTCTACGATTAAGCTATTATTATTGATCGATGATGACCTACTTATAAAATAATGCTAACATTAAATTAGATAATCAAACTATTCTTATTACTATCATGCTGCAAACTTGAAGAGGGCTTTTGACAACATATACTTTTGAAATCGAAGTGTCTGTACTATGTTATATAAGAGTTGAAAGTGTCTCATGACGAAGCTTATCATGCAGGAGATCTTCCAAAAGTATATGTTGGTTAAGAAACTCAACAATAAACAGCATGCCATCTGGAGCAGTTTAGCAACCTACATCAAGTCTTTCGAGTGGAAGATTTTCATCAAATAATCTACCTGCTGCTCTGTCACATGTACATATGAGTGCATGTGTTTGAGCATACTTATCTGTTCTGTCTTTCATTATCTTTCCATTGGTGTTTAGTTTGAAGTATTTCCAAGTGTCTATACATCATATTTGCAGCTCAGTAGTATATCTCCAACTCGGCCCAAAATTTAACCGGGCTAAATATCTAGACATGAAACCAATCCTAAATTCGATGATATATGAGGTCTAATTAAGACCATCTCAGTAGTACAAAACCGATTTGGATCAAAGTATAAGGTAAATATTATAGGATGATCATATATTAATGTTTCAAAGGAAAATAGTTCACAATTAGTAAATATGTCATATAAATTAGGATTTCTTTGTAAAGAACCAATTGACTCTAATCATGTGCAGCGCACAGGTTTGGTTTAACAATACAGCTGGCAGTGCAACAATTAATTAATTGTTGCTGATATACTCTAATACACCCTCAAACTCAAGGTGGGTTACTTGATGAAAAGTCAGCCACATCGAGTTTGAAACGCATATCAAGAATCTCGACTGTGGAAACTGGCTTGGTGAGGAGATCATCCCAATGATCGGTGTCAAGAATCTTGACTATGGAAACCGGCTTGGTGAGTTGCTTTGACAAAACCTTTTCTCGAACAAAGTAGAGGTTAATCTCTTGATGTTTACTACAGCTGACTGCATGAAGAATGGGATTGTGAGCCAGATGTACACTATCTGATTGTCACACTAAATCACAGTGGAAGGAAATAGAACACAAAACTCTTTTAGAAGAGTTTGAACCCATAGAATGTTAGCAGTTATTTGAGCAACACTCCTGTATTCAGCCTCAATCTTTGACCTTGCAACCACATATTGCTTTCTTGACCACCAAGAGATCAAATTAGGCTCAAAGAATACGGAAGACCCTGATGTGGACCTCTTATCAGTCGGGTCTGCTGCTCAATCGGTATGACAAAACATTTGTAGTGAGAGAAGTTTGTGGGTGGTGCATGGTAGGATTTGAGACCAAAGTTAATAGTGCCCTTCAAGTACCTTAGGATTCTTTTGACAGATAATCAGTGAGGTTCAATGGGATTTGACATTAACTGACATACTTTGTTGAGAGCATAGGGTGTCTCAGGACGAGTGGTTGTAGTATATTGTAGAGCTCGTACTACTGATCTGTGAAGGGAAGGATTCTGAAAGGTGGAGGAACCAACTTTGGAGAGTTTGCAAGGAGAAACCATTGTGTGATTAAAAGAGTGTGATTAGAGAGATGCTTGAATTCAATGCCTATAAAGGGGATGACCAAAGTACCCGAATTTGTATATAATAGGTGAAGAGAGAAGGGTCATACTTGTTTGAAACCCTAAATTAACAATAGTTTAGATTAAGCGATCAAACCATTGTCTTGGTGTCTATTTGAGGCCATACAGTGCTTTATGGAGCTCGCAAACAAGAGTTGGGTCGTTATTTTCAAAGCCCTGAGGTTGTTGCATATAAACTTCTTCCTCAAGGAGCCCGTTGAGGAAGGCATTATTGACAACTAGTTGTTAACAAGGCCACTTATAGGAAATAGCAAGAATCAACATAAGCCTTATGGTGATGGGTTTGACCACAGGAGGGGAAGATTCATTGAAATAAAACCCATTGACTTGATGAAACCCCAGGGCAGCCATGAAAGCTTTAAAACTTGTTGATGGTGCCATCTGAGTTTTCTTTGATTCTATAAACCCACTAACATCCAATAAACTTGTTGATGGTGCCATCTTTGGTTATTTTGAATGACATCAAAATCTTCCTTCATTGAAACATGTCACTTAGGGTCAAGCAAAGCTTGCTTACCATTTTTTGATTCAATATGTGTTAGGAAGAGCCTAGGGCGGACACAAGGTAGAACAATGCAAGATTTGTCACGAGTTTTCACAGGGTGAGTGTTGGTTGACCTGGTTGTTTGTGTGATAGTGGGTTGAGAGGAGTTGGCCTTAGGTTGACTAGTAGTAGTGGATGCAGGAGAAATCTTAAGCTAACATAAACACCACACCCACAAATGATTTATTCGTTGTTGCTCACTTCCATTAATTTAGTCATGCTCTACCACTAAACATAAATCGTTTGGGATTTTGAAATGTAGATATTACATATGTCTACAATGAATTCAAAGTGTTGTAATTCAACTTTTATTAGATTACTTGGAGTGGAAATATTGAACATTATATCAATTGACAAAGAAGACTTAGCCTATCAGGAAACTAGCTTAAATGCACGAGCTATGAGACGTGAAGGCACATGAATTATTTTATTGAATTTTCTTATTAATGAATGATTTTAGTTTGAATTTCGAACTATAATCAACTACATATGTTGTTGTTCGGTTTGACATGGGTGTTTTTGTTTCTTTACTTTCCCTTTCTCAGAGAGCGTGGCTATTAAATTTTTTAGCAATTGAGCTACATGCTGGTGATGTTGGTAGCCGCAATCATAGAGATGCTTATCACACAATCCTTTCTAACCTTTTTGGACAAGGTACCACTGGAATTGATGGAGATCAGGCCTTATATCCATTTTCATTGCAAGATAATTCTGGAAATGCTGATTTTAGAAACGTCAGTAAGAGTAAGGTACTGACAGTCATTAATTGTTTCCTAGTTCCCTTGAAATTGTGGTCTTCTTAGTTCTTACACCTACATATATTGTACTTTAATTTGTTTTTTATAAATTAAGAAGAACTGAGCTGATAAAATTACAAGCAAATATCTGCTTGTGTTAACTAATAGAAAATCCATGGTTAAATTGATAACCAAACTATAAACTTCATTGTTAGATTGTTTTGGTTATGGGTTATAGCCATCATGCTCGTAAGCTATTTGTTCAGATGGTGGTGGTGGGGGAGTTAATCAGTTGGAAGGGTATATAATTGAAGAAAATAATAAAACGTGAAGATAAATTGGAGGCACACTTGTATTTTGCTCATCTTCTAGTTTTTTTTCTCATTACTCAAACAAAAGGAAATAACATTTTTCTTATTTTATATTCGCTCTATTTTATCTCGAAATTTAAGGGTCAGAAATATGAAAAATCAAAGTTCAATGCAAAAATAAGTTACATCAATCCGATGTCACTTTAGTGTTGACATATCTAACAACAAAATTTAGTTTATCATCAAATAAAAATATGTTTTAATGATATTTTACATTATTTTGAAATATTTGCTTGCTGCCACAATATTTTAATTAAAATCCTAACTTAGGCTATATTAGTTTACTACACATGTATGCTTTACTTATTTATTATTTAGTTTTTTTAAAAGGAATGCAATATATAAGACCTTAATTAGAAGATATGCTTGTCCTTAAATATAACACCCTCTACAAATTTCTAGATGCATATATTACTCTTTTTTTGATGTATATCCCTTACTTATACTACCAATTTGCATTGTAACCTCAATTGCAACATTAGTTATGAGAGAAATTATGAGGGTTGGATGATGAATAAGTGGGCGGGCGGGTCAAAGTGAAATTTACACATCTTGGTAGAGCCAATTTTATGTGGACTTACAGAACAAATACAAGGGTTGGCACTATGGTACATGCTTTTTATATACGACATAGTAGGAATTATTGAACACATCCAAGAGTTGGCACCATGATGCATGTTTTTTTATTAGATTACAGAGTAGTAGTTGTAGATTTTGTGAGAAAAAAAATAAGTGGGAAACTAGAAAGTGGAGATAAGATATGTAAGCATCAATTTTCATACTAGTAAAACAGAGTGCAGTTATGTAGGAAGTGCGTAATTCTAGCATACTAGTGATTATATCCTCTTAATCAGTTTTTCAATTTTATTTCCTTTTAACTCAGGTATTGGAATTGCTTGAAATCATTCGGTTTAGATGTCCAGATTCTACTAATAAGCCTTCAAGTACTATGGCTGGTATGAAGTATGACTTACTGGTAAGATGTTAACCTTGTAACTTGTCTTTTATATATTACTTGTATTTGGTATATTACTAGTTATGGAAAACAATTTATGGGCACTATTTTAGTCATCTATCACTTTTATCATTTTTTTTGCTTGCTTTTGGTGGTTGGATGTTTTTTAGGCAGAAGACATACTGGAAAATCCTGGAAATTCTGGAAAGGGCGGTGTCTACTATTATTCTGAGAGAGGTGACCGCCTGATTGACCTTGCTTCCTTCCATGATAAACTTTGGCAGGTCAGTTCACTTACTAGTATTGACGATTCAGTATTCTCTACTTCTGGAATTGTAGTTTTACAGTAGAATAATATTAGGAACACACTCTTAACACAATTTTCAACACTCTTTGATTGGTAAGAATTCACAGGCCCATCCAATTTAATGGGACCCATATGAATTTCAACCAATAAAAGATAGTGTATTGCTAGCAGTCCTTTACATTATTAATTTCCTTTTTGAATTAATATATTTATAATTTTAAACATTTTTGTTTCAGAAATTTAATTCTGCATATCTTCAGGTGAGTAATCTTGGCAATGAAGTTGAGCTAAACGATGTAAGAGAGACAATTCAGCAGTTACTGAGATGGGGATGGAAATACAATAAAAATCTTGAGGAGCAAGCTTCATAACTGCATATGTTGTCTGCCTAGTCTCAGATTGTTGAGGTGCAATTCTTTCTTTCAATCTACTGATTCTTTTTGTTTTTGACAAAATATTTATGTTTTTGACTTGAATTCTCTAAACTGTGTTGACTTTAAAAGGTTTCTGCATCTAGAAGATTAGCAATGCTTGAAGATCGATCTAAAATTCTCTTTCAGTGAGTTACTGTACTGCCTTAGTGAATATAAAATGAGTTACAACTTGTCACATGTCTCTTATGTTTTTAGTTTTAGGTTCGTTGTAACTGTTACATATTCATGGCCTGTTCAGGATCCTTGACTCCTCTCTCACTGCATCTGCTTCTCTAGACTGTTCACTGAGGATGGAATTCATATTATCACAGGTAAATATTTAAACTTATGATTTATCTTGTGGAAATGTTGATGAAGTATCCAATTAGTCTTTGCTGTGACATTTGAAGGAGTGAAACATTCTTATTCTTATTCTTAACAAATACAAGTGTTTTTTAGACAAAAAACTACTAGAATACCATACACAACCTAAGGAAGTTTTGCTTTTGGAAGAGCGTGTTGGTGAAGCCAAAAGATTAGCAACAACTAGAAGACTACAAAACTGATTATGAAGAGCTCATTATGAAGGGCTCATGATGATATTAGAAGACCATAAGTGATTTTCTTTATTGGTGCTAACTGGGAGTAATTTTTAAGCTTTTGTAGATGTTCATGTCTATCCTCTAAGGAAAAATCATACCAAAGAATTCTTCAACCATCGGTAGAAAATCTTGGATCATCACTTGGTGTGGAAAATTGAGCAGAATATCTTGGATCATCATAGGTTGTACAATTATATTGATTATATTGTATATATGAAGTTATAGATTAAGACATTTGATCATTTAGATATTCATAAGTATATATTTAGTAGAAAATATAATAAGTTATTTAGAAAAGTGATATAATGAAATATCAATTGTTTTTTAAGATATATAAATTTATATATTTGTTATATGTGAGTCTTTATATATTTGATATACGTGAGTCTTTATATATTTGATATATTACCAAAAAACAATAATAGTTTAAATTTAAAAAACTATTTAAAAAAAATGAGATGAAAGTAATTTAAATAAAAATAGAATATTATAAAAAAAAAATCTATAGATAAAATTACGACGGTTTAAATCGTCGCAACTAGCATAAATAATATTTAGAATTAGTAAATATAATTACAACGGTTGAAAACCGTCACAATATGGAGATTACGACAGTTAGTTACCCGTCGTGAAAATAAATAATATTTAGAATTAGTAAATATAATTATGACGGTTGAAAACCGTCACAATATGGAGATTACGACAGTTAGCTACCCGTTGTGAAAATAACGGCGGTTTTTATGACAGTTTTCACAACCGTCGCAATACGGCCTCGCGACGCACGTTTCTGCGACGGGGTTGAAACCGTCATAACTTACAAATTGCGACGATTAAAACCGTCGTAATATGTCAAAATGAACCGTCACAATTTTCCAATTTTCTTGTAGTGTAAGGCTCTTTTTAACTTGTAAACATGATCAGGATATTCATGAGACTCAAAACCCGGAGGTTGTGCAACATAAACTTCTTCATTAATATAACTTTTAAGGAATGCACTTTTCACATCCATTTCAAATAGCTTAAAGTTTTTCGCACAAGCAAAGGCAAGTATAAGGCGTATAGCCCCGAGTCGGGCAACCGGCGCATAAGTCTCCTCATAGACGATGCCTTCCTCTTGGTTATACCCTTGCGCGACTAAACGCGCCTTATTTCAGGTTATTACCCCGTTTTCGTCCAACTTGTTCCTAAACACCCATCGGGTGCCGATTACTCGATGACCTCGCGGAGGAGGGACAAGGTCCCAAACCTCATTTCTCTTGAACTGATTAAGTTCCTCTTGCATGGATAAAAACCAGTGCTATTCGAGTAAGGCGTCTTTAGGGTTTTTAGGTTCCATTTGTGAAACGAAAGAGAAGTGATAACAGAAATTACTTATCTTAGACTGAGTTGTAACTCCTTTTGAGATATCACTGAGGATGTTGTCAATTGGATGGTCTTTGGAAGACTTCCAAGCTGGAGGGGGATCATCATTTGTAGACGAATGAACTTCCTCGGTTTCCTCATGGCGGTCATCTTTCTCCTCCTCAATTTTGTCTTGGTTGGGTTGATCAATTCCCGGCTCGGCACCTTTGAGTATGTCTTCCGTAGATGTACCGGCACTATGAACAACACTACCTTTTCCGACGTCTCTCAGATAAGATTCATCTAAAGTTACGTGTACAGACTCTTCAACGATAAGTAATCTCTTATTATAGATTCTATAAGCTTACTTGACTGAGAGTAACCGAGGAAGATACCTTCGTCAGTCTTGGAATCAAATTTGCCTATGTTTTCCTTTCCATTGTTCAACACAAAACATTTACAGCCGAAAACATGCAAGTGAGATACATTTGGCTTGCGCCCTTTTAAAAGCTCATACGGTGTTTTGTTTAGAATGGGGCGGATGAGCACCCTATTCAAAACATAACATGTCGTACTTATGGCATCGGCCCAAAAATATTTAGGTAATCCACTTTCATTGATCATTATTCTCCCCAACTCTTCTAAAATACAATTTTTACGCTCCATAACCCCATTTTGTTGAGGAGTATGTGAAGCGGAGAGGTTGTGATCAATTCCATGATTACCACAATATTCTTCAAACAAATGGTTTTTAAACTCACCTCCATGGTCACTTCTAATTGAGACAATGTTTGTGTTTAATTTATTTTGGGAAAGCTTAGAAAATCTTTCAAAGGCGGCGAATGTATCACTCTTGCTAGCCAAAAAGATAGTCCAATAGAATCTAGAAAAATCATCAACTATTACAAAACCGTAATAGTTACCACCTAGGCTTTTAATTCTAGATGGCCCGAATAAACCCATATGGAGAAGCTCGAGAGGTATCGTAGTTGAAACGATATTTTTGGATTTAAAAGAGATCCTCGTTTGCTTTCCCATTTGGCAAGCATCACAAAGGTGATCCTTGTTAAATTTTATTTTGGGCAGACCTAGGACTAGATCTTTGGAAACTACCTTGTTAAGCAAGTCAAAGTTGACATGTGTTAAACGTCTATGCCATAACCATGAGTCTCCACTCATTGTCATGAGACATTTTTCACTTGTCAAAGATACTTCATTCAAAACTAGGTCAAGTGTGTGTGTGAACCATCCTTAGGAGTAGCTTGACTTGCAAGGCACACCGAAAATAGGAAAATGATTCAAATAAATCCAAATAAAACGCACAAAGCTCACAAAGATGTTGGCAACCAGAGGTCAAAGCAACAAGATCAAAATCCAATCAAAAAATCACCAAAGGAATTGATCCACTAGGTTGCTCCATTTTGAAAGGCATTTATCGAGGGTCAAACAAATGGACTTGAAAGTCAACCTAAAAAGGTAAAAAAAAATCCACAAACCAGCCTCAAAGACCTCTCAACTCATCATTGAAATGAGGAATAAGTCTCATTCATAGGTGTTGAAAATTGGATCAAGAACAAGCAAGAACAAATGAAAACACATGAAAAAGCAATTTAAAAATACCTCCAATCATAAAATCCAAATTTAATTGAAAAATAAATTAAAAACTATCAAAATTAAATAACACATTAAAGTATCAGAAAATATGTTTGGTTGAATTTTATCATGATTAGAACTATTTTTAAAAATCAAAAATCAAAACAGAAATGAAAATAAATAAAATAAAACAAAGAACATGAAATGGTGTGAATAGCAATGTTTCATGTTGAATCCATTGGGCTTGCAAGAAAAGGGAGTGCAAATAGCAGTTTAAGCCCAATACAATCATTCTTCTCCGGCAAGGTGGCTGGAGTTCAGGTCAACAAACTTCACGAAAACTTGACAAATCTAATACCAAATTGAAGGTCTAGTCACGTACATTCCAAATCCATTGTCCAATGGTTTTATATAATACATAAACAAAGAGATTCGAACAGTTGAAGTTTGGAATGTACATCTTCAAATATCATCAAAAATCACAATTAAGATATCGAACATTGTCTACATGGTGTAGGGCTTCAGATGCAACCACAATGATCCTAAAACAGTGCCTATCATGAGAGAAATTTGGAGAAGAAGATTACCTAACGGAGACACTCCGTTGGTGCTTTAATTGAGTGTTAGTTTGCTTGCAAACGTGCAGATCCACACCACTAAGCTTGAGGAAGATGATTCTTGCTTCAATTTGAGTTGAAATGCCTTAGATCTGGATTCACAATTTTCAAATTTTTCTCAAGTTTCCAAAACTGGTTCTGCTCTTCCCTCCACGAATTTGCAATTATGAGCTCTCAAATTTCATTTGGAGCTTTTATATTATGGATATCTGAAGTAATTGGAGGCCCATGAAGCTTGATTGAAGAGAATTTTGAAAATGACCAATGATGGAAATTCGTCATGCACACGTGATTATGGCTGCATACACACATGAAAATGACTTGGTTTGGCAGTTTGCAAGTTGAATTTTACATGTGGATTGGAATGGGCCTCAGAATTGATCCAATTATGGAGTTTGGATGAAAAACCTTTTTGTGAAGTAAGCTTCAAATCCACGTGTTTTTTACCTCATCAACCAAAGTTATCTTGTGCATTTTTCTTGTTGGAGTATTGTGAATCATTTTGAATCAAAATATGGCATGAAAAAGGCCTCAAACTAATTCAATTGAAATCATGATTTTAAGTCCATTTTCACTTGAAATTTCTTCACCAATGACCATAACCAAGCATAATTCACACCAATCTTTTGTTTCATGATGAAATTGAAGTCATTTGGGACAACTTTCATGTTGGTTGAAGTTCCATTTGAAGTGCACATATGTATATAAATGACCCATAATCAAAATTTCCCAAAATACCCTTTCCTTGCAAGCTTCATAACTTGAGTTCCACAAATGATATGAAGGACTTCTAGGAATTTTTGGA